AAAAAAAAAACGCCAGTTTAAAAATTACCTTGACATCGCTCCCCTGCGAACTCTTCTGGGCATGTGCATGTGTATTTGTCATATGAACCATCATCCGTACAAGTACCTCCGTTTAAACAAGGATCACTCATGCAGGCGGTTACCTTAGCTGTGAAGAAAGGTAAGGGATGAGCAATGTTGCTGCAACATACAACTGTAGACTTTTATTATAAAACGTTTATTTAAAGAGGGAAAACAGAACTTAACAGTTGGGGACGGACAAACTAGTGCCCCTCTGTGCAAGCAAAAATTACTTATAAATTGCTGAACTAAACAAATTTACAATTAAAAAGCGTAAAGTTGGAAACTATCCAACGGTAATTAAATAACAAAGAATATTAAATAATATAATATAAAAAATAACATAAAAAGTCCTTCCTACGTACGTATAGTGATCTTCAAGAAAAATAAAAACACTCCCTTAAAACTTTAACATTTTTCGCCTTCAATTTACTGCTTAGGGTCGGTCCCTATAGTGAAAAACTGTGACCTCGGGCTTGAAAATGCTGCCCTCGGCCTGCGGCCTCGAGCAGCATTTTCAAGACCTCGGTCACAGTTTTTCACCATACGGACCTCCCAGCCGGCAAATAACATATATATAAGTGAGTATGCTACGAATCCTCAAGAGCAATCAATCATAGAAAAATGTAACTCACACTTTGCAAACAAGACTGTTTGGTTTAGATATTAGCCAGCGTTACGTCATTTTTATCGTGTTTTTTGTTTGTTTGTTTGTTTGTTTGTTTGTTTGTTTTGTTTTTTTTGTTTTTTTTTCCCATTAATGTTCTGCGCGATTTTTCTAGCCTATCACATAGTTTATATAGAATACATCCGTTGAAGCCCTGATTTTTTTCAGGCTTCTTCTTTCCAATTGCTTAAATTGGAAAATTTACTGTGATGATCATCCTTCACTTTCATCTACAACCGCAGTTCATATATGAATTGTTTCATATAAACTTCACATCATACTTTACTCTTTGCAGTGCTTTTCTCCACCCTGGTGTAAACCTTACGTTACCCCTTGTACAGTCCTTCCTCATGGGTGGTGATAGGTCCAAGGAATACCCACACAACTAATTTAATAAAACGGAAATAAGGAAAAATCTGGCAACTTGCGCATTTATTTTTTGAGCTCCAAACAACACAAATATCTGCAGCATAAAAATCTACTTACAATAATATATTGAAACTCTCTTTGGTACTTTCATCCAGTGACAAGACGTTTTCCTCTGATGTAAACAAAAACTAACAAAAGTCGACTAAAGGCATAGCAATAGTTATAGCTTACTGAATCCATAATCCATGAGTACAGACAGACAAAAGCTCTCATGTTACATGTAAGCTAAAGCGTAACATAATTTTCAACGTTGGTGATTTGTTTGAAGTGAGGCAAGTTTAAACTTCGCTACAAAACCTTGAAACAGAGACAAATTAAATATAAAAAAAAAACTTCTTCACCATAAATATCTCACAGGACTCACTCAAAATAAACTCAAAGTTCAAATCCACGCCATGTTTACATTACTAATGTCTCTAGCAACGGACAACGCACAAATTTCTATCATCTCCCCTTGTCGGTATCAGAGAAATCCTTGTCGGATTCCAAGTCTTCTTCATAAGGTTCTCCCATACCAGAATGGTCCATCAGATCCGTCAGTCCTTTCTCTAACTCGTCTAGTCTCTTTCCAGTTTCAGTCATTCTTTTCACGATCGAATCTTCGACATTTTGGAATTTCTCTTGCATGTTCTGAAGCGTCGTTTGCACAAACTGCATCAGCTCTGGAACACTTGTAGGGTTTTCCATCGTGTCCTGTGCAAAAACAAAGGGACAGAGATTTAATTTGAAACGATATTTTAAAATTAGAAGGTTAAAAGAAACTTACCAAGTCTTGTTTGTGTCTGGAAACGTTTTAGATTCGTTAAAATTAAGACGCTCAACTCTTCCTCTAAATTTCCCAACAGTGCGTCGCGCTAACTCGACCGCGTCTTCACTTCGATCTCAAGTGCCTGACTGTTATTATCCAATGAGAAGCAAGGAACTAATAGCCATAAATTACCATTGGCCAATCAGATCTAGGCTTATTATAATACCTGGAATACTGCAAATAATTATTTATTTTTGTCAATCGAAATAAATACAGCGAAAATAATTGGAAAGAAGATATAAACTTGTGATTTCAACAAAGAAAATCATCCTCAATGTATCTGATTGAAATCTTTTTCCACATTCAGAAGCTACCAGTGTATAAATTCCCAATTCACTTCAGTCTGTAATATTTTTTTTAGTGTAGAGAAAAACTGAGCTTTTAAAGCATTCTTGTGATACAATGAACACCACACTGTTGTTGAACTCTGAACGAACTATACGATAACTCCGAAAAAGAAAAACGCAGTCCTTCCCTACCCCTCCTCGGGTGAGTGTTCTCGAAGCGAGGCCTGTCTGGATAAAGCGTCCCTGGATGTTGCTACGCAACTCAGTACCAAGGACCTAAATATTACGCCCGCCATTTTGGAAACCTTATTTATGAACTTGAGTGAGTAAAAAAGACGTGTATTTTTTTTCTAGCATACCGTAGGATGTGATGGCATCTTTACACTCTGACAGATCAGATCATTTTCCTAAAATTCCAAAGCAAAGACTTGTAGAGGCAAAACCTGGTGCTCAGTTGACTTACCTCGAGGATTCTGGAGTCGATGTGCGCGAGCTATGGAGAGATCATGGCAATGAAAGACAGTTGTACAGAAATTCTCCTCCTATGATTATTGGACAGAGAAAATCTGGTAGTCAGAATAGTTCACGAACAAATTCACCAGTACAGAGGCGACATGAGGTATAGTAGGCTCAAAAATACCGTATCCCATTGATGTCATTTATCGGCCAATACTAAAAACAGAATAGCTGTTAAATTTATCCACATTTGTCCACATCACATTTAGAGTGCAATTTCAAGAGTTACACTATACGTTTTATTGAAGTTCTAATTCTAATTGCCTGCCGGAAGGAAATTATCAAAGCCTACCGAAGTGGGAATCTTCTTACATGTACTGTTTTCTCCTGTTCCTATGACTAATTGAGTTTATTGAAGACGGTTGTAAAAACTTTGATGTGATAAATTTATCAGTTACAATTTCGGCTTAATTGACTTAAAACTAGTCTAGCGTAAGTCTCCCATGTCTTGTTGGGTATCCAAGACTTCAAGACAGTAGTTTAATTTATTACAGTGTTGAAATATATATATAACCAGAGGGAAATATCATTTAAGATAAGTTAACGCAAATTACATATATAATTAAGAGAACTTTACGTGCTGTTTATATTGTACGTTTCACTTAAAAACGATGTTAAACCCCAGCTTCAACCATGTATGTCTAGTTTTCAAATAGCAGTCATCTCTCCTTAGTATCTCTTAGTTTATTTCTTTCAGCGACAACTTTATTGACTGCATGTTCTCAGCTTTTCCATAACTAATTAATTATTTAAAAACTTCCATGAACAGGGAAAGTTCTTTAGCAACCAAATACTGCAAACATTGCCAGAAGATGTTATTTGTATAATTTTTGGAAGTTGTTTACTTTGACTAAAATGTCAAGTATGCTTTAATTGATCTGTTCATACTCTATAATAATTGCTACATTTGGATTAAAAAAAAATGATCAGAACATAATTATTTGCTGGAATATTTTTCTTTCTGTATGGGTGAGAATGCTGATGAATGTATGTAATACATGTATATCAAAGGAATCATGCACTTGTATTATTTTGTTTAAAAGAAAAGAGAACATTCATTTAACTCCTGTCAATCAATGTCTCTCTAATGTTGTTTTCTTGTGACTCATTCATTGATTAAATTGAGTTTTTTTTAATAATTCTTAAAAGGAGTACTCTACTACACTGTCATTTAGTTTGTTTAAAAATCTCTCACTAACCAGATACAAAAATACTCTCAACCAATCAGACTCAAAAACAAAACAATCACGATTTACCACATGCATCTTTGTAATGCTCAGGCCCAGTTACCTAAATTATATGCATGTAACAAGTTTTACTGATTCTTTGTTTTTTTACTTCATTTGTTGTCATTTGTCATCTTACTTGTTGTTGTATACGTCAATCTGACAACAAATAAAGTTGCTAATGAATCAGTTAAGTGTTAAAAATTAAAAATACTTAAATTATATTAATATAATTACTAATGATTTATTAAATAAAATATCATCTTTCAGGCTGAACCAGGTACCCTTGCCTGTCGCAGTCCTTCTATTTCCTTGGAACTTGGCTCATCTTTAGATGAAAGTCAGCTGTTACGAGATAAGATCTCCAGACTTCAGCAGGAGAGAGAGCACCTTAGTTCACAGGTATTATTTATTATACTACTAAAAGAATGATGAAACTGATGATTGCAGGTAAGTGTACTTTGTAAAAAACTGACAGTGCATAAATTTGGAATTTGTTTGATACTATTACTATTCCATTCATCATCATTGTCATTGTCGTTATCATCATCATAATCATCATCATCATCATCAGTTTTACAAGCTAGGCAAACAGTATAGTTTACTGGGTACTATTAATATTGATTGTAGAAATACATCAGCTTTATATGTAAATATAATACACTGAGTCACCAAGTAATTTATAATAAATTATTCCCAACAGTTATCACACTACAGACAAGCTGCAGAAACTGCACAAACAGACCTCGCAGCTGAAAAAGTGGTGTCATCTGGATTACAACATGAGGTATGTGTTCATGCAGAGTTGTTACTAATTTTAAATAAATATAATTTGTTAGTTAGTATACCTAGATTTAGCTGTCATTAACCAAGCAAGAGGTCTGTCTGGGAGAAACTTGACCGAAGTTGTGAGTACAGACCGAATGCAGTGAGGGCTGTATACATGACCGAGGTCAAGACCAGGCTTGGGTAATAAGAAGTTTATTATGTGGCAAACAAGAAAAACTTTATTCGTTTAATGTAACTGGCTCGTACTAGCCGACATTTTGCTTGCAAACGACAATGAGCGGAACTTAAATGTGCCAAAGTTTGCTCGTCTTCTTTACATTTTTTCTCATCAAGTTTTTAGCACTTTCATAAATAAATATTTTAGAAGAAATAGTCAATATTTTTGCATTTTAGTTTTTCACCGCAAAACATTAGCGGTCTAGATGCTGGTCTAGATGGGAAAACTCTAGACTGCAGTCAAAATCGATTTCAGCCAATCAAATTCATGAATTCAGTAGTTCCCAGTCCTTGTGAGACACAGCCATATAATAAATGGAATTAATGTACATGTATAATAATTAACACACATCAGTTCATTGCACGCTCCTATGAGAGTTTATATGACATAAACTGCCTAATCTTTACAGTTACGAGATGCTCAGCATAGAATATCAGAAAAAGAACAGCAAATTATTGAATTCAAGGTAGGTTCAATGATTATAATGCTTTTATATGTAAATACTCATACTCCCAGTGAAAATCTAATCATGTACACGCAATGATAACAATGTACTTAAGGACGTTTGTCAGTTATTTTTGTTGGACTCTGTCAGTAATCAATGGTGTTTGGGTATTTCAGTCTGGTAATTGACAGGTCTGCTGGGTGAATCCACATGAATTGTGTTCACAATCAATAACAAATACTCAGAAAGCCCAAAATGAAGTTCAAAGTTCAAAGGTGTTAATATATGATATCTCTAGCCTTTTAAACTCAATCATATTGTTTTAAATTCTGTCGAATTCTGACTACAGTGTGAAATTGAAAGCAACAAACAAAATTCAGCACGGCAGACAGCCTTGGTACAGTCACTCCGTGACAGAATACGAGAGGCAGAAGATGAGGCTGTTGNAAAAAAAAAACGCCAGTTTAAAAATTACCTTGACATCGCTCCCCTGCGAACTCTTCTGGGCATGTGCATGTGTATTTGTCATATGAACCATCATCCGTACAAGTACCTCCGTTTAAACAAGGATCACTCATGCAGGCGGTTACCTTAGCTGTGAAGAAAGGTAAGGGATGAGCAATGTTGCTGCAACATACAACTGTAGACTTTTATTATAAAACGTTTATTTAAAGAGGGAAAACAGAACTTAACAGTTGGGGACGGACAAACTAGTGCCCCTCTGTGCAAGCAAAAATTACTTATAAATTGCTGAACTAAACAAATTTACAATTAAAAAGCGTAAAGTTGGAAACTATCCAACGGTAATTAAATAACAAAGAATATTAAATAATATAATATAAAAAATAACATAAAAAGTCCTTCCTACGTACGTATAGTGATCTTCAAGAAAAATAAAAACACTCCCTTAAAACTTTAACATTTTTCGCCTTCAATTTACTGCTTAGGGTCGGTCCCTATAGTGAAAAACTGTGACCTCGGGCTTGAAAATGCTGCCCTCGGCCTGCGGCCTCGAGCAGCATTTTCAAGACCTCGGTCACAGTTTTTCACCATACGGACCTCCCAGCCGGCAAATAACATATATATAAGTGAGTATGCTACGAATCCTCAAGAGCAATCAATCATAGAAAAATGTAACTCACACTTTGCAAACAAGACTGTTTGGTTTAGATATTAGCCAGCGTTACGTCATTTTTATCGTGTTTTTTGTTTGTTTGTTTGTTTGTTTGTTTGTTTGTTTTGTTTTTTTTGTTTTTTTTTCCCATTAATGTTCTGCGCGATTTTTCTAGCCTATCACATAGTTTATATAGAATACATCCGTTGAAGCCCTGATTTTTTTCAGGCTTCTTCTTTCCAATTGCTTAAATTGGAAAATTTACTGTGATGATCATCCTTCACTTTCATCTACAACCGCAGTTCATATATGAATTGTTTCATATAAACTTCACATCATACTTTACTCTTTGCAGTGCTTTTCTCCACCCTGGTGTAAACCTTACGTTACCCCTTGTACAGTCCTTCCTCATGGGTGGTGATAGGTCCAAGGAATACCCACACAACTAATTTAATAAAACGGAAATAAGGAAAAATCTGGCAACTTGCGCATTTATTTTTTGAGCTCCAAACAACACAAATATCTGCAGCATAAAAATCTACTTACAATAATATATTGAAACTCTCTTTGGTACTTTCATCCAGTGACAAGACGTTTTCCTCTGATGTAAACAAAAACTAACAAAAGTCGACTAAAGGCATAGCAATAGTTATAGCTTACTGAATCCATAATCCATGAGTACAGACAGACAAAAGCTCTCATGTTACATGTAAGCTAAAGCGTAACATAATTTTCAACGTTGGTGATTTGTTTGAAGTGAGGCAAGTTTAAACTTCGCTACAAAACCTTGAAACAGAGACAAATTAAATATAAAAAAAAAACTTCTTCACCATAAATATCTCACAGGACTCACTCAAAATAAACTCAAAGTTCAAATCCACGCCATGTTTACATTACTAATGTCTCTAGCAACGGACAACGCACAAATTTCTATCATCTCCCCTTGTCGGTATCAGAGAAATCCTTGTCGGATTCCAAGTCTTCTTCATAAGGTTCTCCCATACCAGAATGGTCCATCAGATCCGTCAGTCCTTTCTCTAACTCGTCTAGTCTCTTTCCAGTTTCAGTCATTCTTTTCACGATCGAATCTTCGACATTTTGGAATTTCTCTTGCATGTTCTGAAGCGTCGTTTGCACAAACTGCATCAGCTCTGGAACACTTGTAGGGTTTTCCATCGTGTCCTGTGCAAAAACAAAGGGACAGAGATTTAATTTGAAACGATATTTTAAAATTAGAAGGTTAAAAGAAACTTACCAAGTCTTGTTTGTGTCTGGAAACGTTTTAGATTCGTTAAAATTAAGACGCTCAACTCTTCCTCTAAATTTCCCAACAGTGCGTCGCGCTAACTCGACCGCGTCTTCACTTCGATCTCAAGTGCCTGACTGTTATTATCCAATGAGAAGCAAGGAACTAATAGCCATAAATTACCATTGGCCAATCAGATCTAGGCTTATTATAATACCTGGAATACTGCAAATAATTATTTATTTTTGTCAATCGAAATAAATACAGCGAAAATAATTGGAAAGAAGATATAAACTTGTGATTTCAACAAAGAAAATCATCCTCAATGTATCTGATTGAAATCTTTTTCCACATTCAGAAGCTACCAGTGTATAAATTCCCAATTCACTTCAGTCTGTAATATTTTTTTTAGTGTAGAGAAAAACTGAGCTTTTAAAGCATTCTTGTGATACAATGAACACCACACTGTTGTTGAACTCTGAACGAACTATACGATAACTCCGAAAAAGAAAAACGCAGTCCTTCCCTACCCCTCCTCGGGTGAGTGTTCTCGAAGCGAGGCCTGTCTGGATAAAGCGTCCCTAGATGTTGCTACGCAACTCAGTACCAAGGACCTAAATATTACGCCCGCCATTTTGGAAACCTTATTTATGAACTTGAGTGAGTAAAAAAGACGTGTATTTTTTTTCTAGCATACCGTAGGATGTGATGGCATCTTTACACTCTGACAGATCAGATCATTTTCCTAAAATTCCAAAGCAAAGACTTGTAGAGGCAAAACCTGGTGCTCAGTTGACTTACCTCGAGGATTCTGGAGTCGATGTGCGCGAGCTATGGAGAGATCATGGCAATGAAAGACAGTTGTACAGAAATTCTCCTCCTATGATTATTGGACAGAGAAAATCTGGTAGTCAGAATAGTTCACGAACAAATTCACCAGTACAGAGGCGACATGAGGTATAGTAGGCTCAAAAATACCGTATCCCATTGATGTCATTTATCGGCCAATACTAAAAACAGAATAGCTGTTAAATTTATCCACATTTGTCCACATCACATTTAGAGTGCAATTTCAAGAGTTACACTATACGTTTTATTGAAGTTCTAATTCTAATTGCCTGCCGGAAGGAAATTATCAAAGCCTACCGAAGTGGGAATCTTCTTACATGTACTGTTTTCTCCTGTTCCTATGACTAATTGAGTTTATTGAAGACGGTTGTAAAAACTTTGATGTGATAAATTTATCAGTTACAATTTCGGCTTAATTGACTTAAAACTAGTCTAGCGTAAGTCTCCCATGTCTTGTTGGGTATCCAAGACTTCAAGACAGTAGTTTAATTTATTACAGTGTTGAAATATATATATAACCAGAGGGAAATATCATTTAAGATAAGTTAACGCAAATTACATATATAATTAAGAGAACTTTACGTGCTGTTTATATTGTACGTTTCACTTAAAAACGATGTTAAACCCCAGCTTCAACCATGTATGTCTAGTTTTCAAATAGCAGTCATCTCTCCTTAGTATCTCTTAGTTTATTTCTTTCAGCGACAACTTTATTGACTGCATGTTCTCAGCTTTTCCATAACTAATTAATTATTTAAAAACTTCCATGAACAGGGAAAGTTCTTTAGCAACCAAATACTGCAAACATTGCCAGAAGATGTTATTTGTATAATTTTTGGAAGTTGTTTACTTTGACTAAAATGTCAAGTATGCTTTAATTGATCTGTTCATACTCTATAATAATTGCTACATTTGGATTAAAAAAAAATGATCAGAACATAATTATTTGCTGGAATATTTTTCTTTCTGTATGGGTGAGAATGCTGATGAATGTATGTAATACATGTATATCAAAGGAATCATGCACTTGTATTATTTTGTTTAAAAGAAAAGAGAACATTCATTTAACTCCTGTCAATCAATGTCTCTCTAATGTTGTTTTCTTGTGACTCATTCATTGATTAAATTGAGTTTTTTTTAATAATTCTTAAAAGGAGTACTCTACTACACTGTCATTTAGTTTGTTTAAAAATCTCTCACTAACCAGATACAAAAATACTCTCAACCAATCAGACTCAAAAACAAAACAATCACGATTTACCACATGCATCTTTGTAATGCTCAGGCCCAGTTACCTAAATTATATGCATGTAACAAGTTTTACTGATTCTTTGTTTTTTTACTTCATTTGTTGTCATTTGTCATCTTACTTGTTGTTGTATACGTCAATCTGACAACAAATAAAGTTGCTAATGAATCAGTTAAGTGTTAAAAATTAAAAATACTTAAATTATATTAATATAATTACTAATGATTTATTAAATAAAATATCATCTTTCAGGCTGAACCAGGTACCCTTGCCTGTCGCAGTCCTTCTATTTCCTTGGAACTTGGCTCATCTTTAGATGAAAGTCAGCTGTTACGAGATAAGATCTCCAGACTTCAGCAGGAGAGAGAGCACCTTAGTTCACAGGTATTATTTATTATACTACTAAAAGAATGATGAAACTGATGATTGCAGGTAAGTGTACTTTGTAAAAAACTGACAGTGCATAAATTTGGAATTTGTTTGATACTATTACTATTCCATTCATCATCATTGTCATTGTCGTTATCATCATCATAATCATCATCATCATCATCAGTTTTACAAGCTAGGCAAACAGTATAGTTTACTGGGTACTATTAATACTGATTGTAGAAATACATCAGCTTTATATGTAAATATAATACACTGAGTCACCAAGTAATTTATAATAAATTATTCCCAACAGTTATCACACTACAGACAAGCTGCAGAAACTGCACAAACAGACCTCGCAGCTGAAAAAGTGGTGTCATCTGGATTACAACATGAGGTATGTGTTCATGCAGAGTTGTTACTAATTTTAAATAAATATAATTTGTTAGTTAGTATACCTAGATTTAGCTGTCATTAACCAAGCAAGAGGTCTGTCTGGGAGAAACTTGACCGAAGTTGTGAGTACAGACCGAATGCAGTGAGGGCTGTATACATGACCGAGGTCAAGACCAGGCTTGGGTAATAAGAAGTTTATTATGTGGCAAACAAGAAAAACTTTATTCGTTTAATGTAACTGGCTCGTACTAGCCGACATTTTGCTTGCAAACGACAATGAGCGGAACTTAAATGTGCCAAAGTTTGCTCGTCTTCTTTACATTTTTTCTCATCAAGTTTTTAGCACTTTCATAAATAAATATTTTAGAAGAAATAGTCAATATTTTTGCATTTTAGTTTTTCACCGCAAAACATTAGCGGTCTAGATGCTGGTCTAGATGGGAAAACTCTAGACTGCAGTCAAAATCGATTTCAGCCAATCAAATTCATGAATTCAGTAGTTCCCAGTCCTTGTGAGACACAGCCATATAATAAATGGAATTAATGTACATGTATAATAATTAACACACATCAGTTCATTGCACGCTCCTATGAGAGTTTATATGACATAAACTGCCTAATCTTTACAGTTACGAGATGCTCAGCATAGAATATCAGAAAAAGAACAGCAAATTATTGAATTCAAGGTAGGTTCAATGATTATAATGCTTTTATATGTAAATACTCATACTCCCAGTGAAAATCTAATCATGTACACGCAATGATAACAATGTACTTAAGGACGTTTGTCAGTTATTTTTGTTGGACTCTGTCAGTAATCAATGGTGTTTGGGTATTTCAGTCTGGTAATTGACAGGTCTGCTGGGTGAATCCACATGAATTGTGTTCACAATCAATAACAAATACTCAGAAAGCCCAAAATGAAGTTCAAAGTTCAAAGGTGTTAATATATGATATCTCTAGCCTTTTAAACTCAATCATATTGTTTTAAATTCTGTCGAATTCTGACTACAGTGTGAAATTGAAAGCAACAAACAAAATTCAGCACGGCAGACAGCCTTGGTACAGTCACTCCGTGACAGAATACGAGAGGCAGAAGATGAGGCTGTTGAAAAAGACAACTTTGCCAATCGCAGTGATGTCACCATATCATCATTACGTAAAGAGCTGCAAACCCAGCAAGATCGGCTACAACAAGTGGAATCATCCCTTAAACATCATATTACAGCTGAGGAAGAAGCTGCTGGTAGAGCTGCAAAATGGGAGAGCAAGGTGTGTGTTGCAAAATTTTGGCTTATTTGAGTTATAAGTATAATAATCATTTAGCTATTTTACACTTGAGAGAAACAAACACATTCAGATTTAGCCTTATTTACTAATTGATAGAAAGCTATTTCAATCACCAATCAGTCTGTAGTTTGTGACACCCTCTAGCTTCTCTGCTAAGGCTTGGTCTTAATTAGAATTTAATTTATAAATACTGACACTACATTGTACAATATATTCAATATACTTGGAACTGCTGCAAAACATAGACTGTTATATATTTTAATTTGCAGTACAGTGAAATGAGAACGCAGTTGACGCAAGCTTTGCAATTGGATGCCTCAGAGGCAATGTCTGTTTCTGTTCATTCACTCCTTGGCAGGGTGAGTTTGTTATCAAATTTTTATCCTAGGACTGCTATGCCCAGTTTAATATACGTTTTTAAAAGCTACCTTTTAAGTATAGTATGCCTTGAATGCTTAAGGGGCTTGTACATTGTCAATAATACCTTGGTCAAATTTTAAATTAGATTGCAGAAATTGTCAGAGAAAGGAATAGCTTACAAGAAAAAGCTAATGCACTGTCTCGTAACTTACATGAAAGTAACTTGGAGTCTAAAGCAAGCAGGTATGAGTTGTTGAACTTTTATATGCAGTAATATTGCTGATTTCTGAAGATGTACATGAAGAATGCTTCTGTTAGTTACTATTGTTCGGAATCAGTTGAGATTTGAGTGCCCCAATTGACAAATCACCAATCACGCCAAAAATTCATATATTGTGTATTAATATAGTCTGAATGTATTTTTTCACTAGTATGCTACATGTAGATAGCCAAAGATCACGTGAAAATGTATATTAATCTCTTTTAGAGACGAGGTTTTCATTCTCATTCCATTTTTGCTTTTGCTTTTTAGAGAAACTATAATGAGGTTGGTTTCAGAGGTTGGACAAGAGAAGAAATCTTCAAGTCAAAGCCAAGAAACAGTCAACAGCTTGACCAGAGAGCGAGACATGCTACAGCAGAAAATTCGGGAAATGGAAATAGAAGTTGACCGAATGAAGCACCAGCTCTCAGCCAGTCAAGATGCCTGGGGTGTAACCAAGAAACAACTTGATGAAAAAGAAAACAAGTAATTCAACTTCTGTTTTACATGACTGTGTAGTTTAAAAACAGACAAATATTTCATCTAAAGAAATTATGCTGTAAGTTACATACTTTGTAGATATAGACAATTTATAGATCTTTCTCTTGAATTACAGACTTCAAGAAATGGAACAAACACTACACACCAGTGAATATACTGGCCAATCAGCCCAATCAAAGGTTTGTTGTTGTTGCCTGTTGCATACACACTTTATTTCAAATGTTGTTCAGTTGATCTCTGTAGTCATGTTTGGCCAAAGAAATATGAGGTTTAGGGTAGGGCAGGGAAGTGTTGCTGAAGTTTTGATTTTTTTTTCTTATTTACTTTGGGGATGGAACCCCAAGTTTTTCCTTACAATTTAGAAGTATTTTACAGCACTTTGAGCATTGAGGTACTATCAGTTGAATCCTAAATCTAAATATGAATTAGCCATTCTTTTTTCGGCCTGGAGACCTGAAGGTTGTAAAAGTTAGCAAGGGAGAGGTAATACATGAAATCATGTTAAGGCTGTTGTGAAGAATCAATGCAGAGACTAATTAAGACTTAATCCCCACAAACTGAATAATTGCTACATGTCAGCAAGTGGTGTAGGTAATCAAATGGATGCTAGTGAAGGATTTACACTACAAGTGATATTTGAAAATTCTCTCAAAATGTACTTGAGCACTCAGGTGAGTGCAGTTTGAAAGGATTTTCAAATATCATGAGTAATGTAAATCCTTAATGGCTTGTAGTTTAATCATACAATTACTCATTTCTTACATTAATTAATTCATTCATTCATTAATGTTATAATGTCTTTCACTGTAGCTGCACAACTTCAAACGCCACCTGGCACAGTTGATTGGAGATTTAGATGATTCTATCGCAGCTGAGGAAGATGCTATCATTTCCAAACTAAAGAAGATAGTCAGAGACTACAGAGATGTGAAATCGGTATGTACAGCTTGCTTAATCTGCTCACTTTGCTATTTTTGGTCATAATAACTCCCCTCTTTAAATTCCACTGTTTGTTTCAAACTGTAACTAGACTTGTGTCTTTTTTTTTTAAATAAAGTTTCATTTGCTACAATCATTCATGTATCTTAATGTGTCAATTTTTTGCCTTGTTCAGAGAGAGGAATCATTAAGGGTTCAGTTTAAGAACCTATCTGAGGAGCTAGATAGTCAAAGGAACCTTCACCGTACCACTCTGAAACGAGCCAGTGAGGCAGAGACCCAACTGAAAGAGAACCAAGATCGTGTGACGGGCCTTGAAGGAGAACTTCTAACCTCTGATGTAGAGAGAGACCAGCTGAAAGATGACAAGAGGAAGGTAACACTGTTTGCAGTCGAGACGTTGTTGTAGGTAACATGACTAACTTGACGGTGATTGCCGACCGTATGCAGCAATGCTTGGAGGTCTTGGAGAACTCGCAAGTTTTCGCACATTCAAACTTTTTGAGAAAATCTGAACTGTGTCAAAATCTTCAGGCATACTTAGACATAGCAATTTTTCTTGGACAATTTTGTCCAAGGGAGAAAGGCGCAATGAGGTTAACCCTATGTGAAGCACCAACCGGTGAGACAACGCCAGACCACAACACCGGGAACTACGTGCCCTACTCTTTGCGATAAGTGTGTGGGTTCTTTAACGTCCTCTGCTAACCATGTAACACTGAAGATGCAGGAGACGAGGCCTACGGTTTAAAGAAGAGATTGCTCTGTTGATTACATTCATTGCCATTTATCCTGTTCTCAAACTATCGTTTGCAAATTTTGTTTCAGTTTGTTACGTTCTGTGAGAAGTTGGCTCGTGTCATGAAACTCGATGAAATCGCTGATGATGTTGGCTTAGATGTTAATGGCGAGGCTTTGTTAGCCAGAGGAGAACAGCTTGTCAAGCTTGAGGTAAGACATCGTGAAGCAGTTAGTGAAAGACAGCAAGAACTTTCAAATGGTAATTTGTTTTTCCGCGTGCCGCGTTCACTGTACATTCTATCTACTCGTTAAACTCGTGCGACATGATCGAGCCTAGCTTGAGTAAACGGATATATCTCTTTGGACTCTCAGTTTTCCTGTACTAAAGCGCTGACTCATTGTATTTATGTCACTTTGGTGGCAACGTAAAATGTCCTATGAACTTTTGCGTTATTTTATGACTAGCGGGAAGCCAGTCACTTTCATTGCAATGAGGTGGTTTTCTTTTACTTTTTCTAAATTTTTAGTTTTAAAATTGTGCCCAGTTCAAGCTTCCACGTGAAAGTGAGCTTGCCGAATGATATGAAAAACGAAGCAAAGGCAACCCAAAAATGGTTTTATATTGAGCAACCTAGCTCATTTTACATGATTATACGTTCTAGTTTTTAATTGTTTTGTAGCTCACTTTTGTAATGCGCAGGTGATCATATATTCATGTAACGTGCGCAATATAAATATAAATTATTGTTATTATTATTTATTTAGCCTAACCATTGAAGATTCTTTAATATTGAATTACTCATGGTGATGTCACACGTTTTGTTTGCAGGCTGATGCATTAGATGACAGAAAGACGACCATTTACAACCTTCAAAGACGTCTCAAATGGTCTAAACAACAGCTGGAGAGCAAAGATTTACACCTGGGATTACTTAAAAAGAAAGTAACAGAACTTGAGGATCTATTACGAGACAAAGGACGAGTTGAAGTCGAGAGAGATGAGAACTCGATCAGATACAAGAAACTCGTCAAGCAAAACGATAAACTTCAGCGAGAACTTCTCGATTATAAGCAACAAGTAACGGGTCTGAAGGCTAAATTACTAGAGGCTAGCGAACTTAGGGTAAGTGTAGAGAGATGGAATAACACACTATGAGCTGTGAGAGTGTGAGAGTTGTACATGCCTGACTTATCCCTTATTGAGCATCTTGTACCATGGCTGCATTATACCAAACTGTTTTATACTGTTGTTTTTCTGATTTGTAGGTTTACCAATCAAGTATAACTTATACCCCATTCACACCAACTAAACTAGTAAACGGTTTACTAAATCAGGTTTAGGTTTTCCAATTTGTCGATTACGCTTTGCATCCATTTTGAGAAGACAAATTTCAAACCACCCTGCTACCATATTTTAATCAAACAGGTTTTTACCGTGAGAAGTTGTGGGGTGTGCACGGTCTGAGCAACTCACTTTTAACCTTGTTTAGTTAAACCACTTTTAAACATGTGTAACATGTTGGTGTGAACGGTGTATTATTTTAACTTAATGATAATTTCATTTTAGTATATTACTGAGAATTTCTTTATTGTGATTAGCTGAGAGCAGACTGCACGAGCATTACATACATACATACTTTATTGTTACCTCCCCAATGGGGCTTTTCAGGAACAATTACTTAAATTACTAATTTACTAATAACTACACAATCAAAATTAATCAAATTTTAAAAAAAACATTTACAACATTATCTAAACTTTGTAGTCGCCAAAAATGCTAAAAATAAATGAAGTTTAGGGAGTATTTACAAAATTGTCTAAAAGCTTATTCTTTAAGATACGTTTAAAAACTTGAACTGAACAGCTTGATTTTAAA